GTCCGGGGCGCGAGTAACGGGGATCATATTAGACGCACCGCGCAGAAACGGTCGAATGGGGCACCGCGCTCCAATCAGTCAAAACGGACAGTGTCTGTTGAGTCGGTGACGCATGTCTCTCTCCTTGGCATCCGCGCTGATTTTAAGGGATGCGATCGGTCGAATTTTAAGGAGGTGCACAAGAAGAGCACTGATAGATCCGCGGAGAGTCCGCCAACGGCTTTTTTCTTTTTTTTCCTTTTTTTTTAAGAAAAAGAGCGATTTCCTGTACCGCGCCGCCATCGAGTACATAGAGTCGTAATGTAAGTGGGAGAGCTGGTGCCACCTCTAAACATTTTCCAAGTCCCGAATTCCGAGACTCCTGTGTTTGATACATGATCAATCATTTTCGATGTACGGGCACCGTTCTTAACGCACCCGTAACGCAGCCAATCCAACCCCCCCCCCNGTAACGTAACGCTGGCCTGACCTAGCTCCCTCCCCCCAATTTTCAAAAAATCAAGAAGAAGGTTAGAAAACAGTTTTTTCGAGGACGGCTTCAGAAATTCGATTTTATTTTTTTCCGGTACTTCACGACACAACACGCGTTGCGTCGGCTGGATCACGCACCAAAAAGAGTCGCTCCAGAGGGGCGGTATTTTCATTTTTTGCACATTTTGCCTTTCCCCCGGCTCGGATTTGTCACATAACGCTTGGCTCCCCATCCTCCCATTGTAACGCCCCGTAACGCTAGCTCAAACCCCCTCTCCCTAAGTGCGTTACGTCGTACTTGAACAGCGCCTCAGTCTTGACCGATTTTTCATAGATTCTTAGTGACTAAGAGTCTCTAGATGAAAATCTCTCCGGAGGAAAAATTTCGGGTAATCGCAGGGAATTTTGCAAGTTTCGGCGGCGGCGGCGAATCTGGTCGATGAACGGAGTCGCCGGAGTGCGGGACTGAGAAATGTGTCGCATGCAAATTGACCGCTTATTCAACCCCCTCCTTCGCCCCTCTTCCACCCTTCCCCCTGGCCGAGCACGACGCCCCCGCCAAATCAATAGCCAATCAATGGAGTTACGCTCGCATCCACTCTACTTTTCACATTCGTTTCCATTTTGATACGGCGACCGTTGCCGCCAGTCGCGAGGCGGGAATGACCGATTATCGATATTTACGCATTTGAAACTATGATAAAGAATCGATTTTTAAGGTGCTCATTGCGAGCAGCCTTTTTATCGATCCTTTTCTATAAATTTAAATTGGAGATCAACCGATATACAGCAAAGCACGTCATGCCACTGGTTGCCGCTAATTGACATTCCCTTCCCGCACGCCAAGTCTCAGACGTCAACACGCCGCGCCGCACAGTGGATCGAGTCAATTACAAAGGTCGCACAGGCAATTTTTAACTTAAACTGAAGATTTCGATGTTTAATTCGTCACGTTTTAAATTTCGAGGGGTGTTCCTGTTCTTATAAGAAAATTTCGCAAGGAAACCAATAAAACCACTTTTAGAAGTTTAAAATTTTGTCTCACTCTTGATTTTTCCACATTTCATGCTCTAAACTCGTTTTAAGTCACTAAAACGAACAAATAAATAAAGTTGGGACGGTGACTCGGTATATTACACCTACTTTGGCTCTGTAAAAAGCAAGGATCTCAGATGGTGTTTTAGTTTTTCTTTTGATCATGGTGGTCCTGCCATGGTTCAAACAGGCCGTTACAGTCCTGGGTGAGCGTTACTCCCAAATGAGATTAATCAGTCGATGACGGAGCAAACCTAAAGTTAAAGAAATATATGTGGGTAAGTGAATTTGAGCCAAAATTAAGCTAGAGTACTTTGTTTACGCAATTTTATTCAGTTCCCGCCCTACATTTGAATTTCAAACTTGTCCCGATTTCGCCGTCAATTCTCTAGCCAATCGGAGAGTTTGCGTGAATTTCCATCATTTTTTTCTTCTATAGCGCTCCATCTTTATGTCTTTGGTCCAAGTATTTTCGGGGTTTTCCAGATCCCGGACACCATGAGGAAAACCGAATTTTGAGGATTTCATCCTTACTGCTCGGTGCGCTTGAAGGCGCATCTCTCGCCCTTTCTCAGCGGGGAAAACGAGAGGAGTGAAAAGTGGACACGTAATCTGGATAATGGGAATGCCACATAATCCCCATCCGGGGTACCCGCAGGGGAGGGCAGGGGGGGGGGTCGTAGCCGAGGCGCGAGTCGCGGGAACAATGCCCGTAATTGCTCGAATAATATTCAATATCCCGGCAACCCCCGCCCCCGCCCCCCCCCCGCCCCCCTTTATTATTGTTTATAATTACGCGGCTACAATAATACAATTAAACCCGAGCCCATGGAGCGGCTCACAAGCTCACCTCCAGTGTCACGCCTCGCACTCCCGTCCTCAGCAAAACCGCGCATGTACATTGTGATTTCGTCGCAGTTGCGGGGTTTTTCCTCCGTGAGACGATAGAGGGTGAGTCGCTGTATCCATATCGAACGACCTCGATCGATTAATCCCTATCTCACCAATGCGAATATATCGATCAAAGGTTATTCGATAATGCCGGTCTAAAGTAGAGCGCCGTATGTGCGTTCGGACGTTGCCATTTCTCCCTCGACAGAGCACAGATTTTCCTGGAAATTAAGAATGTTTTTCGTCAATTTCTCGGATAATTCAACTGACTGCTCAATTTAGAATTTCTGAAAATTTCAGGAATAAAGCTCATGAGTTCTCGCAAATAGCCTCTTTATCGGGAGAAATTTTACAACATTTGAATGTTGATACTGCGTTCTTCCTTAGTACGACTGTACTCACCACGCTGTCTGGATTCGGGACTCATGGCCCACTACTCCACTCCTTTTACCGTACAAGGATGTTTGGTATACATTGTTGGCAACATGTAACAATTAAAATCAGGCTTGAATCTTCCACTCACCTGGAACACACAAAAGGAAACAATAAATTAAAGCAGGTATAGGTGTATTTTCTGAATGCGGGTAAGTGATGGGATGTATCAAAATGAATCTTAATTTACTTGACATTTTCGAACTATGTTCACGATTACTTTCCGACCCGCAACGATGTTCTGATGGAGCGAAGCGCCAACGCTAGACAGAGGTTAGGCCGCGAGGAAGCTGGGGGTGTTCCTTGGTACCAACTTACATCTCGATATTTTAGGAAGGCAGTGGTGTTCTTTCAGAAAAAAAAACCGAGTTGGACCGACAGGAAGTTCCTTAAATCTCGTCATGGGAATTCTATAATGAAGCAGACGGCTTGATACAACTATTCGTGCTTCATGGATATGCGGGTTGCGGGCAAAAAATTGAAAGCGCTTTGTTTTCTTTTCCCTCGCAATAATACGAGTGCCGTTTCTTTTCAAAGCGCTTGGAAGGCGATGAAACGTTTATATTTTGCTAAAACAATGCCGTATGAGTACAGATGTTGCCAAATTTTTTATAAAATATTTATTTTAGGAAAGTTAACGGTATTTCACCTCAGGAACTTTATATAATTATTTAAGAATAGGCTACGGAAAAGGTTCTCAAAGGAGTTTTCCCGAGTATTTGTTAACCAACTTGAAGCAAATAGAAATTCCTATTATTTCGTAGAAACGAGACTTGATCATGTCACGGTGTGCTACTTTGAAATGAGATGCAATTTGTTAGCCAAAAATACACAAAAATATTTTAAATGGCGAGCGGGCTGCAAAAAACTTTCTTTGCTTATTTTTCATCAACCTTTTGACGCAGCTCTGACAAGCTCTCTAAAGTTCAATTAGGTCACTTTAACTCAAGTGGCGCTATCGGAAGATACTTGAAACTGGATGAGGAATTTTTTTGATGTAATATGGACTAGGTGATTGCGGTTGTTCGCTTTATGCAATCAACTCTTGTTGACAAATCTGCACTAGCATGGCGTGTTTGGCGATATACCGATTCATCTGTCTTTTAAACCTATGTTGAAGGATTAATAGACATGGTTTTTGCAGCTAACACCTTAATAATCGATTTTTCACCATAGTTTCAAATGGGGGAATATCGAAAATCGATCATTCGCACCTCGCCACTGCAAATCTGCGAGATGAGAACTTGTTTTGGTACATGGCATGCGTTAAAAATGGATTTCACTCGTCGATGTCAACTGTTTCGTTGAAAATGGTCTCGATAGTTAGACGCTCATACGCTCTTGCATGCTGAAGAGCACAATCTACAATGAGTGCTCGAAAAACAATTAACTGAAGCGGCATACGACGCGGAGTCACTATTACTATTTCTCAACGGTAATAGATAAATGCAGTTTTATGGCAATAATTCATCATTCATGTGGTTACAACTGAACATCACTGTGTGAGGTTTTTTTTAAAAGTCAACCTGTCTTTCTTTAAGTTTTTTACATTTTTAATCGGCCATGTTCACGGCTCAAAATGATTGGATTAGGAATGCAATTGCATTCTTCATTGGAACCAAATGGAAGTAAGTACGTAAAATTGGACTACTTTGCTAAAAGGAATTAGCATTTTACGCTCAATTAGCAACAACCTATTTTTCATTATTTTCCCAATGCTGATGGGTACATTTATGGATGAGCCAGAAATGGTTATTTCTTATTGCAGAATCAAGTTCTATTTCTTGTTTGGGATACTGGAACAATTTTTCTGTGTCGTTTTTGGCATCCTCAAGTTTTCATTTTCTGATCGGCTTTTCTTGAAATCCCCTCCAAAGAAATAAAACATGTTTTAATGTGCGTTAAGGTTCCTTCCCTTAGTCGCGGTCATTTACTAATCTATAACACAAAGCAGGGAACGTTCTGGGATAAGACAAGTTTGAGAACATTTAAATTTCTCAGAGACATGCAAGCCGAATTCCGGAACATCATTAGAAA